CCGGGGACATCCCCCCCCCCAGCTGCTCCGGGACACGCAGCCCCACGGGGGATGGGGACAGGACCGTGGCTACAGCACTCTGTGCCCCTCACCCGGCTTACCTGGCCCGGGGCTCCCCTCCTCCTCCTCTTCTTCCTCCACCCTACCAGAAGAGCGACGCAACGCCAACGTGTGCCACGACCTCGGGTACCACCGGCCATCACCAGGTACCACCAGACATCACTGGGTACCATCGGCCATCATCAGGTACCCCAGACATCACCGAGTACCACCGAACATCACCAGGTACCACCGGCCATCACCGGGTACCCCAGACATCATCGGGTACCACCGGCCATCGCCGTGCCACCAGCACAGTTGGCATCACCAGGTCACAGCACGACTGGGCAGGGGTGGGTGACCTGGGGCAGCACCTTGGGGAAGGACCCTCCATGGGCACGACCCCACCAGGGTCTCGCTCTGCAGCCTCCAAACCTGCCCTCAAATCCGGGTGCACAAGCCCGTCCCAGCCCCGGTACCTGCAGGGACCCAGCCCCGGGGCTTTTCCCACCCTCCTGGTTCAAGGGGCTCAAGCTCGGGCTAAGGCTCATCCCGGCCGGATTTGGGCTGGAAATCACCGATCCGCTACAGGTCGGACCCGTTTCCCTCACTCCAGCCGCGGCTTCATCTCAACCCCCTTCACCAGCTCCTCCGGAGCAGGCCGGCCAGTTAAAAGGCCCCAAAACAGGCTTTTTTAGACTGAAAACGGGAGCAAAACCAGCCCAACACCTCCCTCCTCCCAAACCACCCCAGCATTTTGCTGCTTATAGGAAAACAGCCCTTTACAACTCCAAAGTTTTATTTTATTTCATCCCCTCCCGGGCAGAAAACATCAAGTGCCACAAGTTTTTCCACGCCAAAACACACTCTCACCCATGCCACCTCCGAGCCAAACCGCAGGAGAACCAACCCGAGGAAGGACAACTTAAATACACTCGCTTAAAAATCAAAACACCGACCCGACCCTTGCCAGCGCCGTACCGAAAGGGGGGTCCCGTATAAATACAGTGCAATAATTACATATATTTTGCAATGGCACAATTAAAAGCCGTATCCAGCCCCGTGTCCAGGGGCTCATCCCGCACTGCTTCCCAAGCCCCTCTCCGCAGGTGATGCTCCAGCCACCACTTGATAGCATCCCTTCTCCCAGTACACTCCAGTTTCGATACCCCCAGCACCGATAGATCCGAGAGGCTGGAGGGAGCTGGTACGGACTTGGGGAGAGGGGCCGCAGGCCCCCGGGAAATATGGCTCCGTGTCCTGGCCAGGGATTTGCCGGAGCCGCTGATTTTGGAGGCTGCGGGTGCAGTGCCCGCACGTGAGCTTCATCCTCTCTTCACCCAAAGCTGACTTCAGCTTTGCTGCCTGATTATTTTTTTGAGAATATTCCAGCCGCGGCAGGGAGAATCGCCGCTCGCAACGACCCGTCATGATCCCGAAGAACCAGTCTAACTGGGGAGCAACTGGAGTGGTCCCAAAACATGACACACCCCCAACACGGCCCATTCTGGGCAGGGGTTTCTCTGCCAGCCAGGGGTGCCCCCAACCCACCCCGTGCGCCCAAAGGCACCCCCAGTCCGCCAGCAGCCCCGGGGCAGTGGGAGGTTATGGCGGGGAGCATCGGCTCTGGCACCCCGTGGTTTTATGGCCAGCGCTGGGACGGGACCTGACTGGATCCTTCCCCGGGGGCCTTACACCCCCCCGGGGCGCTCCCAGAACCCAGCAAGGTGACAACCACTGCCCTCAGGTGACAACCAACCCAGGAGAGCGAGGAGAAGCCACCCAGGGCGGCTGACACGAGCCCCCACCACCACCCTCAGAAAACCCAGCACTCCCCGACCCACCCCACACTCTCCAGCTGCCCCGCAGAGACCCCACGCGTTCGGGACACAAGTGACCGGAGAGGACGAAGGCAATGGGGAGGCGGGGGCTCAGTGCTTCAGCAGGTCCCCCAGGTCATACGCCTCGAAGAGGTCACTGACGCCCTCACCCTCCAGCCCCCAGAGATAGTCGTCCGGTTCCAGGGGGGGCGAGAAGGTGACGAAGGGTCCTGAGTCCAGGTGGGAGGGGGTGCAGGGCAGCTGGTCCTCTGTCTGCTGCAGGAGGTGTGGGGGTGAGCCCAGGAGCCCGGCCTCCACCTCCAGCAGCGAGCTGGACCCTCCCGGGACGGTGAGAGGCAGAGATGGGGGTGAGGAGGGGGGTCCCGTGCCCCCCCAGCTCTGGAGGACGGCGTGGGGCGGTTGCGGGGCTGGCCCGGAGCTGTTCGGCGGGGAAGGGGGTACAGTGTGGTCCCGTGGGGAGGTGGCGGCGGAGGAGATGCCGTGGTCCTTGGTGGGGCTCTCCTCCGCGATCTCCTCCGGGCAGAGGTACACCTCGATGGGACCGTTGGTGCTCTTCAGGTGGAGCTGGAGGTTGTCCTGGGGGGGCAGAGCAAGGCTCAGTGGGGCACCCAGAAGGGCACCCATATCCCACCCCGCTGCCCCCAACCCGTGCGGGGGCACTGCAAGCCCTAAAGGACCTGCTCAGGGTCAAACAGCCCCCCGGAGACACCCCAAAACCAACCAGGGCCATGCTGGGCTGCACCCTTGGGACGCCCCAGGTGAACCCATCAAGGATGGCGCAGATTCAGCAGCACTCACAGCAGCACCCACACCCCGGCCCGGCCCCGACCCTGCTGCCAGGGGGGGGGGCATCCCAGCCCCGCTCCCGGCCCTGCACGCACCTCGCTGAAGTCCGGCACCTCCAGTTGCGTCTCCGGGGGAGCCTTCACGGCGATCACCGTCTGCTCCTGGAAGCTGCTGATGGCGCGGAGGTCCTGGTAGGTGACGTATGCCAGCGTGGACGGGGACGAGGTATAGGAAAAAGAGGGGCTGCGAGTGGGACGGCTCAACCCCCCCTCCGTCCCGGCAGCAGCCTCCGAGCATCCCTCCCCAGCCCGGGGGAAGCCAACTGGAGGAGAAGGGGCTCAGAGGGGTCCCCAGGACCCTGTCCCCAAGACCCTGCCCTCCCTCCCCATCTCCCCCGGCAAGGATATCTCTGGTTGGCTTCGTCGTCAGCCAGCTGCCGGAGCTGCAGGGCACAGTCCTGCAGGAGCTGGTCCAGCGTCCTCTCCGTCCTGGCCAGCTCGGCCAGCTCCCCCCGCAGCGCCTGCTGCTTCGCCGTCACCGCCGCGTCCTCAAAGATCCCCGTCCCCCTGCCAGCGGAGATGGCACCTGAGTGACAGCACGCCCTACGTGTCCCCGAGCCACCTGTCCCCCACCCTGCCCCGTCCCCATGTCCCGTGTCCATCCCCCCAGCATCACTTACATCCACTGGATGTTGTTCTTGGACTTCTTGCGGATGAGCTGGATGCCCTCCAGCACGTTGGTGATGTCGTAGATGCGACGTTTCTGGACCTCCAGCACCTCGGCCGCCCGGTTGAGATCCACGACGCCGTCGGGCGACTCGCTCAGCAAATGGATGAATTTTTTGGTGAGCAACCCCAGCGAGGTGTCGTAGCGAGTCTTCTCCCCGGGAGACTTGGGGGCTGCGGGGAAATGAGAAGAGACACCCCCCGTCCTCTCCTTAGCGTGCGACGTGGGATGGAGGTGACACGGTGCTGGACACGAGAGAACCCCCCCGTCCTCTCCTTAGCCTGGGCCATGGGATGGAGGTGACACGGGGCTGGACACGCTGGGGACGTTAAACCCTGTATGATCCCTAACCTGGTGGAAAAAGAACCCAGAAATAAACACCCACCCACCCACACCCCCCCCCGGGAGTTTTCTGCCAGCGCAGTGAGTTGAATCGGCTCAAAGAGCTGCCGAGG